CAGTATGAGTGTGCCACGGCGCGAAACCCGTTCCCTGCTAATTTTTGAAGTGGTAATGCGCTAACGGTTGGTAGAAAATGAGTATACGAACGACATAATACAGTCTTTCCATTTGCTCGTTCCAGCAACCGGTGGAAACAGATTTGGCGCTGGCTAGACTCATCCCGCCTAACACGCCCCTTCTTGCGCAGCGAACTAGACTCTACCTAGCGCCAGCGATTCCTTCCTGCTTGAGCTGTAAAAACCTCGCTCCACAATTGTGAAAGGACTTTTCAATCAAAGAAGTCACCATATAATTAATTTAGTAACGACACCGTGGAGCCGTTGCGAAACAGACGCCAGCTGAACGTACCTAGTACTGCATTCTCTTGTTGAAGTTCGCTCAGCGCTTTTTCTCTTGTTCTTTTGCTGGTTATGCTGAAATCAAGCATGCCTAAGATAACAACTTCTCCAGAGCTTCATTTAAAGTTTGTCCACCGTACCTTTTTAGAAGGCGTGTACAATGGAAGACCCTAAATACAGCTTTTAGCAACAGTTCTAAACAAGAGCGGAAGTGGTCTAGTGTCAAGTGGCACACATAGCACGCGCACGTTTAGGGGATCAGGTCCTGGATCGGAAGAACTTGTAATGTCGTGACTGACGCACGACCGTCCCTGGGGGCTAATGGGGCGCCGGTAGGAAACCGCGCTCGGGTTGCACTGTCGTCGGTCCTACTACGAAAAGCATGATTCGCGGGGAACCGCGCACACAGTACTATTGTCATCACTTTCAAATCAGTCGTCGTCCTGCGCTCATCATGAGCGGTCGTGCAACCGGTGGACCAGCGCCGCCATTCCTTGTCCCAGTCTAACTTCGGTCCATGGTCTTTGCCTGTCACAACTGATCACTTGCTTCCATCTACTACTCCTCTCCTCATCCGTTATCCACAAGTATGCCTTCACATTAGTATCGGTTTACCATTCATCATATGTGTTGTTATTTGACTGTAACGATTTTGTTGATGTTACCATTTACCCGTTTTCCTACATGAAGTTGTTGATGATACTCGTGTTATGTCAGTGTAGTTATAGTGGGTAGGATGCATGGGTTCATGCTCCTCTTCCACATAGCAAGGGGCAGGCCTTACGCAGCCCGTGGCAGGACCTTTGGGAGCATTCAACGGCGCGATGTCCCCTTGTAGGGGGGTGCGGGCCCTTACAGCCCGCGTAACTGGCTGCGACCCAGGTGCACTCCCGCCGATGCTAACTTCTTTTCCGCACCTGGTCACGACATGTACACTGGCTGGCCCCGCAAGTCATTGTACAGGCCGCATCGCCCCACTCAGATACGCCACTACGATTCGGAATGGGGTGTACATTCAAAAATCCCAAAAAAGGATTTTTGATTTTTATGAGCTTATCCTTTTATTCTATCCAGTCTTGTGCCGTCTCAGCTGCAATGAAGTGATTTGTTTGTTTTCAAGGCCCTACATAGATTTTCAGGCTTCTCGAGTAGAAGTTTGCTACAGGGGAAATCTTGTTACATAGCGGGCAACATGTCCTGCGTTTCCCTCCGAACAAGACGCATTATCAGAACGTGTCAAATGGTGGCGTCATCACGCCCTTTCCTCACAAAGGAAGGTCCCGCTGCAACCCTTTCCACCCAGGGAACATCATTGGTTTAAATACGAGGAGTCATATTCGGCAGCTAGGGTAAAGAGGGAGTCGTAGTCGAAGACGTCATTATGCACTGGAGAATGAGCAAGCGGAATATACTGAGACTTCATACCTTTCCTCAAAACCTCAGAACACATTTCGTCTCGAGCTCTACCTCCTCGTGCTAAGCCTTCTAGCACGAGGAGGTAGAGCGCGAGACGAGATGATGATAGGCTAACGTAGACCTTTCGCATGCTTGACTGAAGCAAATCAAGGCACGTATCAGCGATATGTGCTCCGAGAGCCTTCAACGCAATAACTGAAACTTCAAAATCTTAAGGCATAGTCAACACTAAACCCTCTTGTCCCCTGGAAAATTAGAAGTGATCCCGACTGCAGAAAAATCTGCTTTAAAGAGCAAGGTTGCTTTGGAGTATGTGTTGAGGCTCGGTGACGCGTAAGACTCCGCAGAAGCTGAGTTAAGGAATGGCTACCACCTTGTCCAACTTTAGGGTTCCTTAGTCTCTAGACTCTTCTTGGAATGAGAGGCGGGGCGTCGCTGCTGAGCGTCTGCTGATCATGATCCCTTTTATACGCACATATCCGCATATCCTCTAAGAAAGTTCCGCTCGCGGTACAGTCCCGATGTCCCATCACAGGACACTCAAGATTGTGTGAACGTACATACCTCGTCGTCTTCGGCGCTTCCTGACTCTTCTTCCGAAATAAGTTTGATTTCCTTCAGTACTTTTGGTATAAGATCGCGGAAGACATTTGTAGCCGGTTTCTTCGAATCCAAGCTGGAAAGCAGCATCTAAGAACTTCTCCGTAGTGTCTGGCGCACTGTTCTCCCCCATTCCATCCCAAAAGCTCCTATCTATGGACGAGCACCACGGTAGCAGCACCGCGTAAATAAACTGAAACAGAGAGAGTACGACCTCCCCCCCCCCTTCTACCAATTTTCAGGTTTTCCCCAACTTCCTGCCACTTTTTCCAAGAAGTTCCCTTCCCTACTTTTTCCCAAAAATTTTGCTGTCGAGCAGCCTCTCCTGGCGGCCCAATACGACCCCCCCTGTTGGGGATTCCCCAACAACGATGGACCCTGCTGTTTCCTTTTGCGTCATAGTTCGGTATGTACAAGGTAGTACAGTACAGCATAGCGGAAAGGTTCCAATAGAATACTTATAGAGCTTACTCCTCAACAGTTTTTCCGGCGTTCCTCTGAAAACTGTTCTTATCCATTCTGATAACTGGGCGTCCAGCTTTATCAAGTGACACTGTGACTAATTGTCGAGTGGAGGGATTTCGGAGGGCCTGAAGCATATACATAGCTTTAGGAACTGCATGATCTCTTTCACTACGAGGTGGGGTGTATTGGGGGAGGGTGTTACAGCCATCGTCACTGGTGGAAGGGCCGTATAGGGCGTGGTTCCAGCTGTAACCAATTAAGATTCCGTAGACTAGTTACTCAAATGCTATACATCATGCGGTCAGTGAAATATGTTGACTCATAGCGTCAGCTCAAAGAAGGGAAGCCTTCCGGATCAGTAAGGCTGCGTTCATACTTTGCGGCAGCGTACGCTAGCGTTTCCAGCGTTCGGCAGCGGCAGTGACAAGGAAAGGATAGATATCGATCTAGCGTTTGTCCAGCGTCACCAGCGTGCGCAAGAGCAAGCGGCTTGATTAGGCGTCGTGGAATTGCGGCGCGTGCAAGCACCGCACTGCTAGACAATACCGTACACCAAATTGGTTAAATTGCATAATGCAGTGGATTGAACTGTATAATGCATAATCGTAAAGGATAAAACAACGTGGGATCATTTGGGATCTTCCATAAGTATGAGCATGTATATCAGCCGCATATTCGTCCAGAGAACGTTCACAAAAGTTACTGAGAATTCCGAAAAGGAACAATTTCCAGCAGATCAGCCCCAGAAAAGGGCCTGCAAAAGACAGCGTCATTATAGTTCACTTCAATTCCGGTGCGACAATGTAATAAACATTCCATTCCAACAGCCAGACCACAGAATTATGGAATTTAACCAATTTATTGTACGGTAGTATTGTCTAGTACTCTCGCGATACTTCGATGAGCTTCGTTACCGTGTGGATGTGATCGATCGTGCTGAATCCTCTTCGAAACCCTGCTCGCATGGCTGTCCTTCGTCTAGTGTTCTGCCAATCCTGTTCAGGATGACTCGTGTGAAGAGTTTGTAGACTACAGACAGCAGGCAGATTGGGCGATAATTGCCAATGTCGTACAGGTCCCTTCTTGTACAGCAACACAGTCTTGCTGGTTTTCCACGAGGTGGGTACCTTGCATTCCGACAGGTAGCGCGTGAAGAGTCGAGCCAGAGTTTTGACAAGAACTGGCGGAAGATTCTTCAGATGTTCGGGTCTGATCCTGTCGGGACCGGGTGCCGTACGATTCTTCACCGACGAGATGGCGTGTCGGACTTCGGAAGAGAGAACTGCAGGAACGACATATCCATCCTGCTCCAAGCGGTATGGTTGCAGGTGGACGTGGCTGTCGAAGAGATCCGAGTAGAAGTCGTGGATGACCTTCTCCATTGCCCTTCTGGATGCGGTGATTGTTCCATCCGGAGGGCGGTCATCTTGGTCTTACAGTTGGCGAAGTCGCGGCGGGCGTTGCGTATGCTCTTCCCAGCCTCTGCGGCTTCCACCAGTACTGCTGCTCTTCTCTCCTTGAGGTCTTCCTTTATCGCTTCTCTGCATAGCTTCGCAAGCTCAGACGTCAGCTGGTAATTGCCTGCGGCTCGTGCGGCTCCACGTTGGCGAATCAGCTCGAGAGTTTCCAGAGATAGACGCTTCTTGGTAATCTTGGAACTCTCTGACTTCTTGGCGCAGTAGTGAAGATGTGCGACAAGCCGTTCGTATTCCTCGTCGATGTTGTCGGTGACAGAATCCTCCCAGAGCCCAGCGAGAGAAGTGAAGTGATTCCAGTTGATGGACGGTCTTGGGGCTTCGCTTCTTGAACTTTGCGGCTCTCTCTCCTCGCATCGAAAATCGGAATTTCGCGCGAGGAGACGGTGGCCTGTGTAGAATTTGGGAACAACAGCGACATCGGTCAGGCAAAACCTTTGATTGGAGATGATGTGGTCAATCTCGTTATGGAATTGTCCACCAGGATTCCCATGTCCAGCGTAGAAAGTAGCGCTTCTGGAACTGCGAGCTACCATGGATGGTATGGGTCGACATGATAAACTCAGACAGCCTTTCACCCTGCTCATTCCACTCCGTTCCGTGAGTTCCGATGTGAAGTTCTTCAGCCGTTCTTCTTGGTCCGATCTTAGCGTTGAAATCACCGACGATGACCTTGAAGAAGGTATGATCTTTCCTTGTAGAAATTTCCATTTCCATATAGAACGCTTCGAGCTCATCCTCCTCCTCGTCGTAGCTTGATGTTGGTGCGTAGGCGACGAAGATTGTCAAAGCCGGAGTTGAACCACATCTTCTCATTGCAAACGTCCGATTCGGGTCGTCAGATTTTCGTACGAATCGATGTTCATGGCCAAGTGCGTGTTGACGAGGACGCCCACACCGCCAACGCCTCTGCTGTCGCATGTTCCGAGGAACAGTTCTTCTCCAGTCTCGTATACGGCGTGTAGCGGGCGATGCCTCCTCGTCTCGGTCAGTCCGATGACGGGGGGCCGTTTGACGTCCTACTTCGATCTTCCTGGCTTGCAACATCAGATCTTCGCATGTGAGCTTCCGATGCAAGCGTCCGTGCGTTGAAAGTACAGATCGTCATCCTAGTCCTGGGCGACCTAAAATCTCCGTTGGCCCTGTGATTTGCAGCCTCGCCCGAGCGGTCCCAGCCGACCTCACCCTGTCGGTGGTTGCCTCAGGTTCAGGGGAATGAGGCCCATAATTATTAGTGTTTTCGGCAGAAAATTTTAAAACCAACGCGTGCCTCGCCAGGCTCTCTTGACGTTGGACATACTCCGCATTGGTACGGTGCTTGGAACAGTCCAAAAACGCTTCACCCCCACGCAAAAGTTGCGTTCTGCGGATAGATTTGTGTCTGATAGTTTGCGGGCCAGTTCCACACAACCGGCAATCTCTCGACGCCTACATCGAGCCGTTCGCTGTCTCTCCTACTCTCCCCTACCCTTCTTGTAACCTCATCGCCTGCGCAAACGCTAGTGAAATGCTGTGCAAAACATTGGTGAAACGTTGGAAAGTGATACCTATACTTTCCTTGTCACTGCCGCTGCTCAACGCTGAAAACGCTAGCGTACGGTGCTGCAAAGTATGAAGCAGCCTAACGGTTGGGAGAATATGCGATCGCTCTGGACTCGAACCTATCAAGTCAGCCTACAAACCAAAGGACTCACGGTCTTTCAGCGTCTGTTGAAAAGCCATCATTTCCGTGTCCTTCATCTGATCAATAGTGATACGGGGTAATATGGATCCCGCATGCGGGAGATTTCGTGGATGCCGCATCCTAGGTAGTAGGATTCAACAGATGTTTGCGAAAACAGTGTGCAGCATCGGGATGGGTGAAATGGCTGTGTCGAAGAGAACCCTTCCCAGAAGCTCCTATCAAAGTACAACCCCGATGGCTCTGTCCCAATGCTGTACCTGTGCGGGAATCTTTCACAAGCTTACCAATTTAAACTGATGTTGATTAGAGCAACTTTTACAGAGACGCTTACTCCTGCAGAGACTAATGCTTTTACTGCCCACGGACTGAGAGCCTGAAATATTGGCTTCATTGAAATCATATTCTGCACCGATGCTGGGCGGTCCCAGTGACTCCACCCACTGATTACACAGGCAGAATGCTAGGAGCGACTGTACACACCACTACACTACATTATGTTTCATGATGACTCTATTCTTATGCGCGAAGCAAGTAATGGCGCATCAATCAAGGTATTACTATTCGCAATGGTTGGTGTCAGTCCATCCCTCCCCCCCCACTAGAGAGATCGTACCGCAAAGCACTCCTTTCACAGCCTACCATATTACCAGCATCCCCCCCCGATGAACCAGTGCAAAGTGCTTGTAGGTGTTTGCCTGGGTAAACGACGGGTGGATGAGGGAGGGGTTATGCGTTGAAACAAAAAAAAACAGTAGTTGGAGAAAACTCTCTCGAGATACGGTTAGATCTCCTTCCGCCAGACTGCCAAATACTACCCCTGATTGCCGTACGGATGTTTTGTTCATTGTGTTACGTTCCCGTTCAGAGGACTAAGAACTCACAGTCAATGTCAGTCACTCATCAGCATGGGATAGACCTTTAGCTACAGGAAGATCCTCTACATGATATTCGACAACCCTGGAATTCATGGTTCGGGTAACGATAACATTATTATGGAGTTGGATTAGGAGAGACACCTGACATCAGCAAGCTTTCCAACAAATCCAGAAGATAAACACCTAATGAGAAGCTGAGTAGAACCCGGTGACCGATCCGACCGGTGTTCCATAAAATGGAATGATCTGTAGCGCTTACCATTATTTCAGGTGCACTTATTGAGGAGCGGTTGTGGTAAATGATTCTTAATACCGTATCCTTCGTCTCCTCGGATGTCTGAAATGACACGCACTCATCACGACCGTTTTCGTACGGCCGCTCGCTACGCCATGTAAACTCCTAAAGAAACTCCAGCTTTAAAGACGGTGCTGGTGCAGTTAGATGCGGTACGTTGCCGCTGAGCGCAGGCATTCGAAACCGTCCCAAGCATCTCTGTTTGTCATAAAAGGTCAGAAAAGTCTCTTGCTTTTGTCTAGCTTTCTGAACTTAGCTCGGAGTAGGAGCTCAATGGTTTGGAGGAGTCCCTTCGAGGATCAATCACTTTTTGGGCTGCAGCACGAATTCTAGTTCCAGTCTTCATCGTAGTAACATTTCAAATGCTATGTGGCATTTACATTGACTTGCAGGGTCAGCCAATGTACAAATCAGTGTTCTTATCCTCCCAAGAAATTTGCCACTAGTTGAGCGTCCGCGGAAGATGGGGAGGGGGTAGGCTTGGTCAGCCTGGGCGGTTGCCGACCTGTGATTTGACCTATGAGCTGCGCGCCTGATAAGCGTGTCACTTACCACTACGCCACCACCGCCTCAACTGACCACATAA